AAAAAAAAAGGAGAACTAAAGCTAATACAATTTAAAGTAGATTATGAAGAATAAATGATAGGTTAATAAAAACATGTCAGCAACAATGAGTGCTACTTCTTAGCTTAGTAAATCATAAACTTTATGTGAAGTCAAGTACACTCACAAAGAAACAAAAATATGAAAGAAAAGAAAGCAAATAGTTGTTTGACAAGAAAACAGGATTGCATTTCCTCACTGTCTAGATCATATTCCAATTTGATACGATGAACAAATACTGGTAAAAATTATAGTTTATATCCTATTTTTATTTTTTGTTGACTATAGTTTTTCATTGATTGGACTAACAAAGACATGTGGATGGATTCTGAAAGAAATTCTCTCACGGAGAGAAAACTTAAGGTGGTGGGTATTCCCTCTGCAGGAAATTCACCTGGGACTAAAGGTCTCTCTGGCCAGTCAAGTATTTAGTGTTACAATGCAGAAAGAAAAATGATAGAAGAAATAATTAGCAAAATTATCAGACCTTTGGAAAGTTAGAAGAGTTCTTTAGAGGACATGTTAGCTAATATTCTACTTACAGAAAATAGTAATAATATAAACACAGTTGAACAAGAAGAACTTGATCTTTTATTTTCATTATTTATACAAATGGTTATTAACTATTATTCATTTTAATGAGTAATGACTCTTTTATTAACTCACTTCTTATCTCTACTATAATTTTATCTAATTTTATATTCAGGTTTTAGGATTCACTTAGAAAAAATAGAAACAATTCTAATCCAAAAAGGAGAAAATTAATGCAGGGATCAGGCTAAACAATCAATGAAAAAGCTGAAAAAATCAAAGTAGGGATTGTTGAAATGGCACACAGATTACCTAGAGCAGACAGTTATACCAATCATCTGTGACTTTGACACACAGGAGGATGTGGTTTTAAAAGATCTGTGAAACCTGAGCATATTTCAAAAGTAAAAGTCACAATGGAGTTTGACTGGGAGGAGCTACAAACAGAGAATACACTCCAAGAAACTGATTGACAGAGAAAACCCTTTCTTCATTCCTTCTGAACTCTGCCTTTTCAGTGTAAAAGTATCCATAGAAAATACGTAAACAAATAGGTGCAATTGAGTTTGAACCACAGACTGTAGTTTGCTAATCCTACTCAACAATAATAAAAGATCCTTCAACTAACACTATAAGAAAGAAAGAATCTTATCAAAATTTCTTGCAAACTCTCAATAGTTATTCTGTATTGTTCCATTAAATTTTGATATCTTTATTGCTTCAGTTTCCCAATTAATAAGAGAATAAATATGAAGAAGT